GCCCCCCCCCCCCCACCCCCCTGCCCCGAGACAGACGCATGCAGCGCGACGCAGCGCACCCCAATGCACGCCGTATCCTTCGACAAGAAGCTACAGACAATTCATCGGGTATACACACCTCTACGAGATGATAAGACGCACGGACGGGTGAGCGAATGGGTGTGTGGGTGGGTGATGGCAATTAGTCAAGTGATGTGATGGCCTGTTTAGTTACCATTCCTTAAAAAGAGCCAGCGCACAGCACAGCACATGTGTGTCGGTCTACATCGGTCCATCTCCAGGCGTGGAAAAAGATTCCCCCGTCTCTCATTCATCCATCCATGTGCGCTGCAGGCTGCATGCGACCGACAAACCAAAAAGGAAAAACTCTCACTGTCATGTCAGCTGGGCTGCCCGCAACGCTGCGGGCCAACTACTTACCTCTTTGCTCACGTGCCCGGCCTGCCCGCCTGCCTGCCTGGCTGTTCTTACTTGGCCAAAAATATCCCCACCCACTTTAGTGTGCACGGATGCACTTTGTTTGATGCATACATACAGGTGTCTGTCTGTCTGTCTGTATTTGGTTTGGTTCACCGCCGAGTGGACATAAAAGGCCCTCCGTCCGTGCTGCCCCGCCCCTGAAAAACACACACCCCACCGACGACACACACGACGACACACAATGTACCAGGGCACCGCCCCCATTCGCCGCCTGCCTGCTTCTCCCCCGCCCCGAGGCCTGTCCCTCTCCTCCATCAGTGCCATCCCTACCTGATTGCCTCCCTGATTGCCCGCCGCATCGAGTGCGTAAGTGCCCGTAAAAATAGGATAGGCCCGGCCTCTCACACCACATCACATCGCGTGTTGTGTGGTGTGGGTGGGGCGGCCTGCACGGCTGTTGGTGTGTCAGCCGTTCCTTACTCGAGCGTGCGCATAAAAATAGAGGTAAGTAAGGGCATGAGCGGGCCAAGCAGGGCAGGCAAGGCAAGTGGACGCACGGATGGGTATGCGTGTGTATGGATCGGATCGCACGGAGGGAGGGGGAGAAAAGGCGTATGGCAGAGGGCGTACTCGTGATGGAAAACGGGCAGACTGACAAGTGGGGGGCGGCAAAAGTGGAGGTACGTACATACGTAGGCGCCAAGAGCCCCCACCATGCAGTAGAGCCTATCACGGACGTCAGGTGCGTCCATATATGGACGCATGAGCGGATGACGTATGGCGCCCTACCTAGCCAGGTCTTGAGCGACAGACAGGAAGACATGCAGAAAAAGAACGTATGTATGTACAGGTGCATCCATCCACGGGTGGGGCATTCGCAAAGAACCACTCAATCAATCAATCAATCCATCTCTCAATAGAAAGTGCGACGCAACAGATGAATTCCTCTCTCAGCAGAAAGACACACAGGGACAGACAGACAGACAGACAGGCTGCTCCATACAGACAAAAGAGCCCTCTCCACCCACCAGCCCACACATTCATGCAGTGATGTAAACCACCCAGGGAGTGTATGTAGGTACGTACGTACGTATGGACGTCATGTTCCCCATACCCTCTCTCTCCCCCATTTGTCTCTTCTCCCCCAAAGCCATAAAAGCAGACAAATATCCAACCTCCCCGCCCCTCCCCAACACTCTCTCCCCAATCCTTCCATCGATCAGATCCATCCACACATTAGTGAGGGTCACTCACCCGTCAGTCACTTCACATGTCCGAGGCGCTCCTCTTGGGCGCCCCCGGCGGCATCTGCACGAATGGGTGTCCTCGGTCAGGCGCGGCGCTCTGGGTCGCGTACGCCAGCGCCGGCAGGCAGAACTCGGTGCTCGTGCTGCTGCTCGTCAGGTGGATCGACGGGTAGTACCCCTGCTGCCCATGCATCATGCCGCCGCTCCCCGCGCTCTCGCTCGCGAAAACCGGCGGCGTGGAGGTGCCGATCATGGCCGTGGCGGGCGACAGCGGCTGCTGGCACCGGTGGTCGTCTTGCCCGTGCAGCCGGTGCATGGGGGTGGGCGTGCTGGCCGCCCCAGACATGGGGGAGCAGGTGGACACACAGCCGAGATGAGACGAGCTGTCCTGTCGCTTCCACAACGCCGAGGCCGACAGGGGGCTGTCCGGCGCATGGCAGTGACCCCCACTGCTGCTGGCCGGCAGATGCTCGGTGTCCATGGCCGCCATGCCGCTCGTGTCGGTGTCCATTTTGAGGTGTGCTGCTGGGATGGGCGGTGGGGGGATGGACGGCGGGGAGGGGTAGGAGTCCAGGGGCGACACGGGGATGGGCACCGCCAGCTGCGCGTCGACCTCGCCTTCCACCAGCAACTCGTGAACGGCACTCTGAATCGCATGCCGCAAATCGGCCGGTTGCTGTCAAACAGAGAGAGGTATGGAGATAGGGAGTTAGGGAGGGAGTGCACTCATCAACGTGTCTGTACATATCTGTTTGGGTTGAGGCATACATACCAGTGAGAAGCGTTTCGACGTGACGTCTGCGCACAGTGCCACGAGGAACAGACGGCCGCGCATCGACGCGGGACGGAGCACCAGCAAGTTCTCGAAGCTGCTGCCTGTACGCAAGAAGACAGAGAGGATGCACGTCAGCCATTCATGCGCCTGTCTGTCTGTCTGTCTGTCTGGTCGGTGTGGTGTCAGTACGGACCGTCTTTCCGTCGTGACAGCAGTGTGGTGACGAAGTCTTTCTTGTCCTTGAGGCCATGACGGCGGTTGGACTGAAGCAAACTGTCAACCTGATGAACGAACAAATCAACACACACATACAGAGACACTTGTGAGTGCCTCCCTCGTTCCTGTTGTGCCGTCCGTGTGTGTGCCACGTACGTATGTGTAGACAGCGAGTTGTGCGTCTACGTCGGTGTCCTGGTGTTCGAGTGCCTCGAGCAGCCCCAGCTGGTCTGTTAGCAGCTCCCACGGGCTGTAACCCGTCAGCCGGCAGAAACTCGATGACACAACCACCAGCGGACTGACGCACACACACACACACGGACACACACACACACAGAGACAGAGACGCAGCAGAGGCACGTTCTCACATTGTGGCCCTTGTGTGCGTATGTGTGTGTGGTGTAGTCACCCACCAGTCGTCAAGCGTCGGGTCTGCGAGTGCGGCACAAAATGTCAGCGCCTGCTGACCACACACACTAACCTTCACAACCTGACACATGAACGAACCAACGACAACGCACGACACACACAACAGAAATGACACAGTGCCCCCCCCCCCCC